CCCGGTGAGCACCCCGGCCCTTAAGAAAAAACCCCTCAAAAAAAAAAAAAAAAAAAAAAGGAAAAGAAAGGAAAAAAAAATGGTTGCATCTGTATTGAACATGTATACATGTGATTTTTTTCCTTGTCAGTTTTTTGCTAAGTAATACAGTGTAACAATTGTTTGCATGGCCTTTGCATGGTACTATATAGATGTTTTTCAGTGTACAGGAGGATATGTACAGGTTTTATGAAAATACCTCACCATCTTCTATAGTGACCTAAGCATACATAGATTTTGGTATTCTCATTGAAGCAAAGGAGGAATGTCTTGGAACTACCCACGCATGGATACTGGCAGATGACCAAATTAGCAAACACTTGAATTCATTTTCACTCTGATACCTCACCATATGGTCCTGTGGGCAATAAATCTTGGGAATGACTTATGGTAGTTTCCACACTCCTGAATGTAGAGCATAATTAACATTTGATGAGGCTGTAACGTGGCATAATAGAAACCCTTTGCAAGGCTAACTCACATGGATATTTCTGAGTTCATCTCCCTCAATACAGATATTAATGAGCCAGGGCTGGCTGAAGCTAGGGACAGATTGAAGACTCTTTTATGGGTGCCTGTTTTTTTTCTCTCTTTCTTGCGCATAAAAGAAAGAATTAAATAACTTGAAAAAACATTGGTGAGAAACCAGCAGATGGCATAATGGCTATGTCGCTGGACTCCCATGTAGTTGACTGCGGTTTCAGTACCGGAAATGTGGCTTAAACTCATGTCAGGCATGTGTACGTACGTGCGTTCCCATGATCCTGGGAGAAGAATGAAAGAGAGGGGATTGTGGTGTGATCATCCCCCCAGGGGGTGATTTCTCTCTTTCTGTCTCTCTGTCTTTCTCTTTCTGGCAAGTGTACAAACTCTATAGCAAAAATCTCTCAAAAAAAATTGGGGAAAGATAGTTGAGGATCTTAAAGACCTGGTGCAAAGGATTTAAAATATTTCGACAACATTAAGATGTGATTTCTAAGGCATTTTAATTGCATTCAGTTATGGTTCCTAAAATATACCAATGCAGCTCAAATTTAGTTTCATTAGATAAGGAAACATATGCCCTCAAAGATATTCTTAAACTGAAACACGAAACAGATAAATCAAGCTCAGAGATCAACCAGAACTGAGATATGTGGAATGGTACTGTCAATTTTATTTTATATTATCAACAAAAGCCTTTTCAAATATATTCTAAAACCATTGGTAAAATAAATTTCAGTGACAATTTCACAGATATTATCAATTTTCATGTACTTATTATATCACAAATATTCAAATAAAAGAGCTAGATTACAAAGTAAATATCCAAAGATACACACACACACACACAATGTCTTTTATCCTGTTTTTATGCAGGATATAAATTAAACTGTGTAATGTACATATAAGAATATATACAAGCCCAACAATAGTCACAGTCGCTATTAGCTGCTACTACTCAACATTCCGAAGCCCCATAAGAGTCCCAGGTTCAATTATCGGCCCACAATAAAAGCCAGGCTTGGTAGTGTGTGCTTGTAATCCCAGCTTCTAGGAGGCTGAGGCCTAAAGAATAAGTCTGAGTGAACCATTGAATAAATAATATAAATTTTTGTATGAGTCTTCAAAAATTCAAAGAACAAGCATATTATGTAAAAACAATGAATGGATATTAAACCTTTTTGTACCAAAAAAAAGAATATACTCTAGTCTTATTTTTCAATAGAATTTTTAAAGCTCCCTCATGTACGTACAACATACACATGTATATATACATATGAATGCACCATATCACCTATAACATGTTGCAATCTGAGTTAGAGTTTTCCTTTTAGTCAAAAATATATTTTGTTATTGTCTTTCCTTGTCAGTTCACACAAAACCTCTTAGCTCTCTATTTACTCCTTTTGGTTTACATATTTATTTCTTCCAAGAGAGAGAGAAAGAGAAAAGTCACTCCCTACAGGGTCTTTTTTTTTTTTTTTTTTTCCTTTTTTGGGAGAGGTTTTTGCTATAGGGTGTGTGTGCTCACCAGAAAGA